AAATTCCTTAAAATTTCTGTCCTGTGACAGAAGGGTGCTCTTGGCAGTGTGATGTAGTGGCTAACGTGTCAAAAATATACGTGGCACTATCACAACTCAGGTTCGAGTCCCGTTGGGGGTGTTGATGAGGCCTAGACGAGGTCAAAAGTGCCATCCACCCTAGATGATAATATCTTTTTGGAGGCAAGACTATATATATATATATATATATATCTAATGTGAATCTCGAAAACCTGCTTATAAAAAAATGTACTTGATTTCTATAACGAATACATCTTTGCGTTATCGATAATTGCACCACAAAATATGATAACGTATAGCTTTCTTTGGAGTGTACATCTGCCTTGTGACCCAAGGATATTCATGGAAATGTGGAGTAGGAGTTAAAAGGCCGAGATTCCACGCTGCACTGTCATGGGTCAACTCCTGCTGGGGGTGTTGATAAAATCTAGGCAAAGTCAAAATTTCAGTCTACTCCAGCCGGAATGAAAATACCTTTTTGGGAAAGCAAGGCTATGTGAACTTATTTTCGTATTAGAGTAGAGTTTCGAGACTAACAGTAAATCAGTTATTTATGCTCTGATGTGTGGTCGGATTTTGAAAGAGTTCAGCCAGGACAAGAAATGGCGTAGGTCTGTTCAACAATCCTGCTTTGGATTCTTAAAAAAACTTTTTAGACGTTATTTATTGATGGTATTATTTAAGTAATATAAAATGTATTCACCCTATTTCGTCTAAGGTGATGAAGGACTGGTAGTAGAATTTTCCCACAATGATATGAGTTAAGCTGACGTTTCCATTGAAGTTTACATAGCCTTGCTTTCCTAAAAGTTGTTCTCATCCAGGGTTGACTACGGATGAGAACAACTTTTGGAAAAGTAAGGTTATGTGAACTTCAATGGAAACGTCAGTTCAACTCATATCATTTTGGGAAAATTCTACTACCATTCTTCATCACCTTAGACAAAATAGGGTGAATACATCTCATATTATGTGAACTTCGATGAAAAAATAAGGTCTACTCATTATATTGTGGGAAAATTCAACTACCAGTCATTCATCACCTTAACGAATTAGAGTAATTACATTCCATATATATATGATCTCCTGTTAGTGACAAAAACCTGCTTATAAAACTAAAAGTGAGTCGTTGACACCGCATATACTCCAAGTCAATTTGGGTTTCTAAAAGCCTGACATTTATTTGACGTAATAATCGTAAAAATTAGATCTCGAGACTACTGACAAATTTTGAGTTGCAGTTCTACGCACCCTAAATCGCATAAGATGATCTAGCACCGATGGTTGCATTTCCCAGATAGGCATCAGATTTCCAGTGAACTTGGCATGACCTTGTTTCGCAAAAGGTATTCTCATCAAAGTGGGATTGTAGTTTCGACCTCGTCTGACCTGGTCTCACCAGCAACCCCAGCGGGACTCGAACAAGGGTATGGCAGATTAGTATATAGACAAGTTGTTACTTGCTTCACACTGCCACGAGGACACTTGACTAACAGATAGTATGTGAATTCCAAGGAGTGCCGCACTTATCACATTTTTA